CCACGAGTGATATCAATATACAATATCTGTAACGAGGCCCCCCAATAGACTGCCCCTGGAACTCTATCGGGCACGTCCCACTGAGGGAAGTCCCCGGGGCCCAGGCAAGTATATGCTGGTGGGGATATGTCGCTTGGCTGATTTGGGAATGCCTGGGAATTCCCCAGGAAGATCCAGAGTCTGTCGCCAGGGAAAGGGAAGTCTGGACTGCCCTACTAAATGTGCTGCCGCTACAACCCTCACCAAGACGAGAGGATTTAGAAATAAACGAACAAACAAAGCTGTGAGTCTTCTTGGCCACAGATATTACTCCTTTCTCTGTGGATGCAAAATATTAACTTACTTAAAGGACTGTCTGTTCTGGCTTATAATTAAGACTTGCCATCCTATGATCCCCTCTATTGAACCAAACAAAATTGTATTAGAACCTTACAGATCCCTAAAATATCAGTACAGAACATAATCAGCGAGTTTCTTTGGGAGGCCAAGCTGCATTGGTTGGGTCATGAATCCCACATAAACAGACAGCATGCTCAAGCATCTTCTGTTAGTCCAGGTGTTACGAGCTAAACAGGCATGGCATTGGCTTGAGAAGAGATTGGAGGATGTGGAGGTGATCACACCTGCTGATGACTGGTACCAGGAGTGTCATGATCAGCCTCTGTGGAGGAGGCCCGTGATATATGCTGCGGGGCAGTTGAAGATATTTGCTCTGCAACAACAGTGAGATCGGAGGAGCAACGCTCACATGAATGGGTGGAACGCCGGGTGCCTAAAATGCAGCAATACAGTGTGAAGCACAGCTGGTGCATCTGTCAAACATCTCAGTCATTCATCCCTTGACACCTGGATCATTCCAATGACCTGCTGACAAGTGATCCACACTTACATGGCATTCATGTGAAATGTATGTGTAGTGAGTTCAACTGAGTCGCAGACGTACACTTGGAGGCAACACATTTATTTAACACCAACACACGGGGTAACTGCCCCTTAACAGAATAACAACCTGTGGTGGTGACCACCAGGCTAACTGCACTAATTACAACGTAACGAGCTACTACGGACCGGGACCACAGCTCGGGTCCAGTTCCACATGTTGTAGACTTGGTAGAACGTAGACGAACGTTTCTTCAGGTTGAACAACAACGCCGGTCCTCTGGGGGACCCGGCTTATATTTTTTGCGGTGTGGCTGGCTCCGCCCTTGGCCACGACCACCTTTCAGAATCCTCGAGCAGGATCTGGACCCTGACCACGTGACCACCCCTAGCCCCCACTTTGGGCCCCTTTGTGGACTTAGCTTGTCACGTGCCCTCTCGGGTCAACCAGAGTGCCATGGCCTTTCGTAACCTCATTCCTACGGCCGGCACTCCCACACCCTATCCTGTAGGGCCGGTACTACACGCCAAGCGTGGTGCCATCCAGCGATATCAATCAGCGCTCACGGAGCCCCTCTAGGGCCGGTACTACACCCACCATCGTGGTATCCGTGATGTCGTTACACCGCACGCCGTGCCTCTCTAGGGCCGGCACTACACAGTAACATCCTGCTAGGTCACTAGATCTGTAAGAGTTTATTTACGTGGGGAGCGGTGGCGCAGTTATTACACTGTGTAACAACAAAAATTGTTCCTGGGTAGTGTTATTTCCTAATTGCCTATGCCTCAAAAGTACAGAAAATTGCTATTATACCCAACAAACTTTGCTTTTGTGACCAAAAGCAACGTTTGTGGGGAATAATAGCGATTTTCTATACTTTTTAGGCATGAGCAATAAAAAAAATAACACTTAATACCCATGAACAAAAAATTGTGTTTCATAGTGTTATCACTGTATTATGAACTCAATAATTAGAGTTTGATTATCGCCGACAACAAACGTGATTGATAAGTGAAAACTTCACTTCTTGTGGGTCTCGGCTATGTTGATTGATCCTCAATTAATTACTTGGTGAAGTGAGAGAAGCATTAATACTGAGCAGATGAAGGTGGCCATGCATGGTTCTGGACACACCACCACCTTTTTACCATGCCAATGTGTGACAGTGTAAAGTTTGTATTTGCAGTTAAGTATATTAACTCTTTTGAACACGTAGGTTAAATCAAAACAATAGTTTATTTTAGTTTTCCTTTGGGGCTTTTTATAATAATAGAAACGGGAAGTTAACACAGCACATATGCAGCTGAAGTTAGATCTGTTCATCCCAGCATTCAAGGAAATCTGAGCCTGGCTTCATACCTCTAAGTAAGCGATTGAACATTAATCTATGCATTTCTGCATAATACAAATAGTATTATTTTCAACACCCTTTGCTATGTTAGCTGCATTTTTCTTTACTAAATATTCCTTTTGTAGCCAGACAACTAAAATTGTGTGCTTGGAGTTTTGGGTTAACATTCATTTTTTAAATTAAAGGGCTTCCAGGCATATTTCTGACCATTTGTCCTTTCATCGAGTGTCATAACAGCCATGTGATTAATTTGGGAATCTTTTTCACTATATCATGAATATATGAATAAGTATAGACGTGTAAGTATGTGTGACTGTATATATGCATTCCTCTGTGCCTCGATACTGACGTAGATGGTGTGGATATTCTTTTTTTCTGTCTGCAGCTGACGCTTCCTCCGCAGAATAGATCTGATGGAGCAAAGGCACTCGGCGCAGCTCGGTACAAAAAGGCAACAACGCGACCAGTGTGCATACAGCACGGATCGTCCTGAACATTTGACACAGCACCAGATAACTCACACAGGAGATAAACCCTTCAAGTGCACTGTGTGTGACAAGGCATTTCCATGGTCATCAGATCTTCATAGACACCAGAGAACACACACGGGAGAGAAACCCTTCAGGTGCACTTTGTGCGGGAAGGCGTTTGCTGAGTCAACACATCTTAAACTACACCAGAGAACACACACGGGAGAGAAACCTTTCAAGTGCACTGTCTGTGAGAAGGCATTTGCATGGTTATCATGTCTTAATTGCCACAAGAGAACACACACAGGAGAGAAACTCTTCATGTGCACTCTGTGCGGGAAGGCGTTTTCTGAGTCATCACATCTTAAACTACACCAGAGAACACACACGGGAGAGAAACCCTTCAGGTGCACTGTGTGCGAGAAGGCGTTTGCAGGTTTATCAAATCTTAAAACACACCAGAGGAGATACAATCATCAGAACATCCCCAAGAAATTGAGTCTGAAATCGGCTTGTGAAAGTCAAAGTGCTGCAATGAGCCCATCCCTCATGAAACCAGAAGTGAATCCCAGCTTGGACTCTTTTAAAGGTATCAAGGTGAAATGTGAAGAGGCGAAGGTGAAATGTGAAGGAATGATGAAGAGCGAAGAAGTGAAGGTGAAATGTAAGAAAGTGATGGTGAAAAGCGAAAAAGTTACGGTAAACTGTGAAGATGAAGATTCAACTCCAAAATCGTACCTTCACATCGATGGAGGCAACGTGAAGCAGGAGGAGAATTCTGACTGCGAAGCAGAGCTTGGCAACTCCCAGCAGTTTGTGGAAGTGGAGGTGTGGGTGGACTTCCTAGACAATACAAAGTCAAATGGAGACCCGGTAGATGGGTAGGCTTGAGACAATGAAGCTCCAATAGATGCACCTTTGTCACAGGCCTTTAATTAAAAGAACGTGAATTTGAACACTGAATTCCTGGGTTCAACCTGCAGAGTAAGAGCGAGTATTTGTTGACCTGTGGGTTGGGTAGATGAATAATCAGGAACAAGAGCCAATAAGCTTCCAAGTATTCCACGGTTATATTTATATTTGCATTGATATGGTGCTTGCTTAATTGGCTTAGCAACTCAGTTTCATATCTCATCACAGACACTCGAAGAGCAGCTTAAAGTGGCAGCTGCCTCTGTGTCATAAGGTGACCCTGCTGTCGCCTGCATGTGGGCATGAGTCTGTCAGTAGGGGGTGATGATTGATGTGTAATCTCCGTTGTGTAATTTCTGGATAATGTTTGGAATTGCCCAAATATTGACCATGACACCAACATGCAATGACCTATGCGTTTTAAATGACACAATCGTATGTTTTACATCCACTGTTAAGCAGACGGTGCATATTTTGTTTAATGTTACTGGAGTAGCCAGACGTGCCTGTCGGATTTGAACCTTGAACCTCTGCAATAAATAGAGAATGTGCTACCACTTGGCTTCCCTCAATCTGTGTGTAGGCATGACAGCCTGAATGTTTCTAACTGGCGCAGATGTTTCATTTAGAGGGGTCCACGTTTCACATGCCTACAGAAGGGAGGGCAAAACTGGCCGAGAAGAACCGAAGCTTCATGCGGAGCGACAGACCAGGTAGCTTCCACACAGTATAGCGCAGCCGATGAAAAGATAATGCCACCCGACTGATTCGGACCACCCACACACTGTACACACGCAGTGTTCCCACAAGGTCTACACACACCATGTACACAGTGTACACACAGTTTACCCACACAGTATACAAACAGTCTGTACACGCACAGTGTATACACACAGTAACAACCGCCATTCGCCACTAAGTGGCGGTGACGTCACCACGGCGCTTGTGCCAGGCTATGTGCACGGGGCAGATCCAGGTGTCATGGGTCGACTGACTTAAATGACTGGCCAATGCACCACCTGTGCCCCCGGCTGCGCCAACAAACAGTGTCCACACACAATGTTCACGTTGTTGTTGAGCTCACGCACCCAATGGGTCTCTGTTCAAGAGAGGGAGCCACAGAAATGGAATCTAAATAAACTTGAACTCTAACCCTGATCTCGCTCTCTGACGTCACCCCTCATTAACTTGCCGTGATGCGCGAGGGGGAGGTGTCCTCCACTAGTGACGTCATGTCACCGAGGTATTTACCCCCCCCCCCCCCAACCGGGATTTTGAGCATGACGTCACGTCTACCGATTTCCGTTCCGGTACAATGCTTATATGGCTCGTTGGGGAAGAGGATTGTGTGAACCCCGCAAGTGACGTCATGTCACCTCCTGCTGCCGCAAGTGACGTCACGACATACCAGGAATCTTCTGCTCTGCGCACGCTCGCGCACGGAGATCCGTGGTGAGAAGTTTACATCGTGGTGGTTGTTGTGGTGGTTGTTGTAAACCCAGGTAGAGCCTCGCTCCTTCTCCCTCGTAGGGATATCAATTGAGGAGCAGCGAGTATGGAATCGATGTCCAGGTTGGAACATTACAACGCGGGGCCTAGCCATGCGGGGCCTTGCCTCCTGCCCTCGCCTGATTGCATTTACTTTAATTCTCTGCTTAAGTTTAATTTGTCTTCACCTGGCTCACTACTTTGAAACTTTGTTTTACTTTAAATATTTCAACGTTTTTTTTATTTTACCAGGCATAGCCCACTTGAGCTACACCGCTCGTTTTCAGAAGCGACCTGCCCACAACGCAGTGGGCTTATCAACGTGTGGAAATGTTTATCGGTCAAATACTCTAAACGCGTGGTGATGTTGACTCTAAATGTGCAGGGAAAACCGCAGGATCCGGAGGAGAATCCACGCGACCACGGAGAGAGAGGGACACGCAAACTCCAAATATACAGCCATAATACAGGTTTGTTTGGGATTGATCGCGTAAATAAATCAATGTACCGTTAACCCCGCCACCACCCGACACAGCCATTTAGTAAGAGGTTTGTCAGGTAAACAGAACGTGCCCAATGCGTCACTAGTACAGCACTAGTGTGTAGTGTAGTGTACTAGTACATCTCACCGGTGTGTTGGAGAGCCAAGCCACAACATTTACAATCTAAGTACAACGTTTTGACAGTAATTCCAACCAGCTTCATCAAACGACAGCCAAATGTTGTGGCTTGGCTCTGGGAATAGAAATCGGCTCGCTGGGTTCATAGCGCAGCACGCTAACCGTTGCACTACTGCTCCCCACTCACACACAAACTTCATCGGAAGTATAGTATTTATCCAGCAATAACTAAGTTACCCGGCTTAGCTCAGGTCTCAGTAATCAAACATTAAGAGTAATGCCTCTGCTTTTTTATGTAATTAAGGTCTATCGTACCATATCGAGGCTTGGGGCTTTGGGTTGTTCTTTGTTTTTTATGTCTCTGGCTCTGCTCACATTCATTGACGATTTTTATGATTTTGGGCAAGCCCGTCTAAAGCTGCGTGACCAGGAGTTGGAGCCATTTGCTGTTCAATTTGGCTTGTGACAGAAATTCACTCTGCCCCCATGCATTGCATTACATAGCATCTTCATTAATTATGTAATTTGAGAAGCTCACAATAGCCATATAAATAATTGCATTCGTTACAGTTAAAATGATACGCGCATCGATGCCTGGTTATCGTTAAGGGATCGTTCCCTGGTCAACCATGTTATATCTGCTGATGATCTGGAAATGGCTACTCAATGAGATCGGGTTAGATAATCTCGTTCTGTGCCCGGATAATTCCATCATGAAAGGTGGCCTTGCGTATGTTCCACCAAAATAAATCACCTGCCTGGGAATTTCATGTCATACAACACTGTACCTGCTCAACTCTCCATGAGTAATCAGGCAGTTCTGCAAGTAATGGAGGAGCTCCCATACCTGGTTAATGTGTTCACGACCAGCTCTGGTTTGGCAGCCAAAGTCTCACTTTAAATTTGTCTAGCAGCATTCTTTCATTAGACTGTGTAACACTGTGTGGAAGCTGCCTGGACTTTTGCGCCATACAAAGCTGTGAGTGTCCATCACCAAGGTCTAGTCTGTCTGAGACCATCCCTCTCCCTGCCATACTGGCGTCGCACCCGCCTCTCACTCTTCGTACTGTGGATGGTGGGCGCACAGGACGGTGCCACGCAGCCATTCCAGGCTGGGTCCAAATGGGTTACGTGGGTCACCGAGCCACCAGGCCTCATTCCACGAGTGATATCAATATACAATATCTGTAACGAGGCCCCCCAATAGACTGCCCCTGGAACTCTATCGGGCACGTCCCACTGATGGAAGTCCCCGGGGCCCGGGCCTGGACTTGCTGGTGGGAATATGTCGCTTGGCTGATTTGGGAATGCCTGGGAATTCCCCAGGAAGATCCAGAGTCTGTCGCCAGGGAAAGGGAAGTCTGGACTGCCCTACTAAATCTGCTGCTGCTACAACCCTCACCAAGACAAGAGGATTTAGAAATAAACGAACAAACAAAGCTGCGAGTCTTCTTGGCCACAGATATTACTCCTTTCTCTGTAGATGCAAAATATTAACTTATTTAAAGGACCGTCTGTTCTGGCTTATAATTAAGACTGGCCAGCCTATGATCCCCTCTATTGAACCAAACAAGATTGTATTATAACCTTACAGAGCCCTAAAATATCAGTACAGAATATAATCTGAGACTTTGGCAGGGGAGGCTGCATTGGTTGGGTCATGAATTCCGCATAAACAGACAGCATGCACAATCATCTTCTGTTAGTCCAGATGTTACGGGCTAAACGGGCATGGCATTGGCTAGAGAAGAGATTGGAGGATGTGGAGTTGATCAGACCTGCTGTCAAGATCGGCCTCTCGAAAAGGCCCATGACGTATGCTGCAGGGGAGTTGGAGGTATTTGCTCTGCAACAACAATGAGGTTGGAGTAGCAACGATCACATGAATGGGTGGAACGCTGGGTGCCTCAAATGCAGCAAGACAGGAAGCACAGCTGGTGCGTCTGTTAATCATCTCAGTCAGTCATCCCTTGACACCTGGATCATTCTCATGACATGCTGACAAGTGATCCACACTTACATGGCATTCATGTGAAATATATGTGTATGTAAGAGTTTATCTATGTGGGGAGCGGTGGCGCAGTTTTTCCACTGTGTAACAAAAAAAATGTCTTGTTCCTGTATGTGTTATTTCCTAATTGCTTTTGCCTCTTAAGTACAAAAAATGGCTATTCCCCACAAACTTTGCTTTTGTGACCAGGACAGTGATATTTAGAAATATACCTCTTTTCAATGAAAAAACAGGTGAATTTGTTATTTTCGTTCACGTACAATTCTGGTCACAAAAGCAAAATTTGTGGGGAATAATAGCCAATTTCTAGACTCTTAGGCATAAGCAATAAAAAAAATAACACTTAGTACCCAGGAACAAAAATTGTGTTACATAGTGTTATCACAATGAAAGTTTGATTATCTCTGACAACAAACGTGATTGATTCATGAAAACTTAACTTATTGTGGGGAAGCATTAATAATGAGCATATGAAGGTGGCCAGGCATGGTTCTGAACACACCACCACCTTTTTTCCATGCCAATGTGTGTTACAGTGTCAAGTTTGTATTTGCAGTAAAGTTTATTAACTCGATTGAACACGGAGGTTAAATCAAAACAATAGTATATACTTTTTTTCCTCTGGAAATTTTTAGGAGAATGGAAACAGGAAATTAACACTGCACATATGCAGCTGAAGTTAGATCTGTTCATCCCAGCATTCAAGGAAATCTGAGCCTGGCTTCATGCCTCTAAGTTAGCGATTGAACATTAATTTATGCATTTCTGCATAATAAAAATAGTATTATTTTCAACACCCTTTTCTATGTTAGCTGCATTTTTCTTTCATAAATATTCTTTTTGTAGCCAGAAAACTGAAATTGTGTGCTTGGAGTTTTAGGTTAACATTCATTTTGAAGATACTAGGGCTTCCAGGTTGACCATTGGCCCTCTGATTGTGTGCCCGTGTGATGAATTTGGGAATCTTTTTCATATTATCATGAATATATGAATGAGTATAGACATGCAAGTCATGTGTGACTGTATATATGCATTCCTTTGTGCCTCAATACTGACGTAGATAGTGTGGATATTCTCTTTTTTCTGTCTGCAGCTGACGCTTCCTCTGCAGAATTGGTTTGATGGAACAAAGGCACTCGGCGCAGCTCGGTACAAAAAGGCAACAACGCGACCAGCGTGCATACAGCATGGATCGTGTTGGACATTTAACACAGCACCAGAGAACTCACACAGGAGAGAAACCCTTCAAGTGCACTGTGTGTGACAAGGCATTTTCATATCCATCAGTTCTAAGGAACCACCAGAGAACACACACGGAAGAAAAACCCTTCAAGTGCAGTGTGTGTGGGAAGGCATTTTCATATTCATCTGCTCTTAAAAAACACCGGAGAACACACACAGGAGAAAAACCCTTCAAGTGCAGTCTGTGCGCGAAGGCGTTTTCACAGTCATCTGCTCTTGTATTACATCAGAGAACACACACGGGAGAGAAACCCTTCAGTTGCACTCTGTGTGGGAAGGCGTTTGCACGTTCACAAAATCTTAAAATACACCAGAGAACACACACAGGAGAGAAACCCTTCAAGTGCACTGTGTGTGACAAGGCATTTTCACATTCATCAGTTCTTAGGATCCACCAGAGAACACACACGGGAGAGAAACTCTTCAGGTGCAGTCTGTGCGGGAAGGCGTTTTCACAGTCATCTGGTCTTGTATCGCACCAGAGAACACACACGGGAGATAAACCCTTCAAGTGCAGTGTGTGTGGGAAGGCATTTTCAGATAAATCTCCTCTTAAAAAACACCGGATAACACACACAGGAGAAAAACCCTTCAAGTGTAGTCTGTGCGAGAAGGCGTTTTCACAGTCATCTGCTCTTGTATTACATCAGAGAACTCACACGAGAGAGAAACCCTTCAGTTGCACTTTGTGTGGGAAGGCGTTTGCACATTCACAACATCTTAAAATACACCAGAGAACACACACAGGAGAGAAACCCTTCAGTTGCACTCTGTGTGGGAAGGCGTTTGCACAATCACCATATCTTAAATTACACCAGAGAACACACACTGGAGAGAAACCCTTCAAGTGCACTGTGTGTGGGAAGGCGTTTGCACATTCACAACATCTTCAATTACACCAGAGAACACACACGGGAGAGAAACCCTTCAAGTGCACTGTGTGTGACAAGGCATTTGCACAGTCATCAGGTCTTCATAGACACCAGAGAACACACACGGGAGAGAAACCCTTCAGTTGCACTCTGTGTGGGAAGGCGTTTGCACAGTCATCAATTCTTAAAAGACACCAGAGGACACACAAGCATCAGAAGATCCCCAAGAAATGGAGTCTGAAATCAGCTTGTGAAAGTCAAAGTGCTGCAATGAGCCCATCCCTCATGAAACCAGAAGTGAATCCCAGCTTGGACACTTTTAAAGGTATCAAGGTGAAATGTGAAGAGGCGAAGGTGAAATGTGAAGAAGTGATGAAGAGCGAAGAAGTGAAGGTGAAATGTGAAGTGATGGTGAAGAGCGAAAAAGTGACGGTAAACTGTGAAGATGAAGATTCAACTCCAAAATCGTACCTTCACATCGATGGAGACAACGTGAAGCAGGAGGAGAATTCTGACTGCGAGGCAGAGCTAGGCAACTCCCAGCAGTTTGTGGAAGTGGAGGTGTGGGTGGACTTCTTAGACAATACAAATTAAAATGGAGACCCGGTAGATGTGTAAGCTTAATAAAGCTCCAATAGATTCACCTTTGTCATTGGCCTTTAATGAAAAGAACGTGAATTCGACCACTCAAATTCCTGGGTTCAACCTGCAGAGTAAGAGCGGCGAGTATTTGTGGACCTGTGGGTTGGGTAGATGAATAATCAGGATCAAGAGCCAATAAGCTTCCACGTATTCCACTGTTATATTTATATTTGCATTGATTTGGTGCTTGCTTAATTGCCTCAGCAACTCAGTTTCATATCTCATCACAAACGTTCGAAGAGCACCTTCAAGTGGCAGCTGCCTCTGTGTCATAAGGTGACACTGCTGTCACCTGTGTAGAGGTGTTACATAGGGGGTGTTATAGAGTTGATACGGATGGGAAACAAACACACTGGGCGTGGCTATGTCTGTACGCGAGCAGGTGCTTATATTGACGTCCGCGCCGTTTAGCCTGGGGGGCTAATACGGCGCTGGGATCCCCCACGGCCCCACCCCTCAGGGGGGAATTGCTATATAAGGCGGTTAGCCAGAGGGCTCGGGGTTGAGTGTTCAGCTTTAACCAGAGACGCAAGAAGACCTGCTAGATAAGCCCTGGGACTCCCTTGGATCGCTGTCCTTCTCAGGACCGACCAAGGCCAGCCAGTGGCGTGGCCCCAAGAGCCCAGAGCCGATGCTCTTGTAAGAGCCGGTCTGGGAACTCAGGGTGCCGTAATCCCAGCTTAACCAGGGCTGGGTTAGCTAGCCTCCCCTAGCCCGATAGTGGAGGACCTAGGAATAGGCTAGCTGTAACATAGGTTGTCGATCTCCCAGTTAGACGGTTGGAGGGGCCGATACCTCTCCGAGTGTTGTATATCTCGGCCTGTAGATACAACTGTGTTGAATAAATAAGTGTGCCTCCGACTACGTAGTCCAAGCCTCCTTGAACCACACTACACCTGCATGTGGGCATGAGTCTGTCAATAGGGGGTGATGATTGATGTGTAATCTTCATTATGTAATTTCTGGATCATGTTTGAAATTGCCCAAATATTGACCATGACACCAACATGCAATGACCTATGCGTTTTGAATGACACAATCGTATGTTTTACGTCCACTGTTAAGCAGACGGTGCATATTTTGTTTAATGTTACTGGAGTAGCCAGACGTGCCTGTCGGATTTGAACCTTGAACCTCTGCAATAAATAGAGAATGTGCTACCACATTGCTTCCCTCAATCTGAGTGTAGGCATGACAGCCTGAATGTTTCTAACTGGCGCAGATGTTCCATTTAGAGGGGTCCACGTTTCACATGCCTACAGAAGGGAGGGCAAAACTGGCCGAGAAGAACCGAAGCTTCATGCGGAGCGGCAGACCAAGTAGCTTCCACACAGCATAGCGCAGCCGATGAAAAGATATTGCCGCCCGACTGATTCGGACCACCCACACACAGTGTACCCATGCAGTGTACCCACAAGGTCTACACACGCCATGTACACAGCATACACACAGTTTACCCACACAGTATACAAACAGTCTGTACACGCACAGTGTATACACACAGTAACAACCGCCATTCGCCACTAAGTGGCGGTGACGTTACCACGGCGCTTATGCCAGGCTATGTGCACGGGGCAGATCCAGGTGTCATGGGTCGACTGACAGATGACTGGCCAATGCTCCACCTGTGCCCGCGACTGCGCCAACAAACAGTGTACACACAATGTTAACGCACACAATAATGTTCACGTTGTTGTTGTTGAGCTCACGCACCCAAGGGGTCTCTGTTCAAGAGAGGGAGCCATCGAAATGGAATCTAAATTAACTTAAACTCTAACCCTGATTTCGCTCTGACGTCACCACTCATTAACTCGGCGTGATGCGCGAGGGGGAGTTGGCCCCCACTAGTGACGTCATGTCACCGAGGTATATAGCCCCCCAAATCCCCCTCCACCGGGATTTTGGGCGTGACGTCACGTCTGCCGATTTCAGTTCCAGTAAAGTGCTTATTTGGGACGGGGTCAGCAGCCAAGCACCATCATCTGACATGGGCCCCTCTCATTAACATAATTAATTCAGTTACCCTGCTGCTCGTTGGGGGAGAGATTGTGTGAACCTCGCAAGTGACGTCATGTCACCTCCTGCTGCCGCATGACGTCACGAGTTACCAGGTCGCTGCTGCTCCGCGCACGCTCGCTCACTGAGATCGGAGGTGAGAAGTTTACATCGTGGTGGTCGTTGTCGTGGTGGTTGTTGTGGTGATTGTTGTTGTGAACCCAGGTAGAGCCTCGCTCCTTCTCCCTCGTAGGGATATCAATTGAGTAGCAGCGAGTATGGAATGGATGTCCAGATTGGAACATTACAACGCGGGGCCTTGCCTCCTGCCCTCGCCTGATTGCATTTGCTTTAATTCTCTGCTTAAGTTTAATTTGTCTTCACCTGGCTCACTACTTTGAAACTTTGTTTTACTTTAAATATTTCTACGTTTTTTTTTATTTTACCAGGCATAGCCCACTTGAGCTACACCGCTCGTTTTCAGAAGCGACCTGCCCACAACGCAGTGGGCTTATCAACGTGTGGAAATGTTTATCGGTCAAATACTCTAAACGCGTGGTGATGTTGACTCTAAATGTGCAGGGAAAACCGCAGGATCCGGAGGAGAATCCACGCGACCACGGAGAGAGAGGGACACGCAAACTCCAAATATACAGCCATAATACAGGTTTGTTTGGGATTGATCGCGTAAATAAATCGGTGTCGTTAACCCCGCCACCACCCGACACAGCCATTTAGTAAGAGGTTTGTCACGTAAACAGAACGTGGCCAATGCGTCACTAGTACAGCACTTGTAGTGCATAGTAGTGTATAGTGTAGTGTATAGTGTAGTGTATAGTGTAGTGTATAATGCAGTGTATAGTTGTGTATAGTGTAGTGTATAGTTGTGTATAGTGTAGTGTATAATGTAGTGTATAGTGTAGTGTACTAGTACAGCACATCGGTGTGTTGAAGAGCCAAGCCACAACATTTACAATCTGAGTACAACGTTTTGACACTAATTCCAACCAGCTTCATCAGACGACAGCCACATGTTGTTGCTTGGCTCTGTGGGAATAGAAATCGGCTCGCTGGGTTCATAGCGCAGCACGCTAACCGTTGCACTACCGCTCCCCGCTCACGCACAAACTTCATCGGATGTATAGTATTTATCCAGAAATAACTAAGTTTCCCGGCTTAGCTCAGGTCTCAGTAATCAAACATTAAGAGTAATGTCTCTGCTTTTTTATGTAATTAAGGTCTATCGTACCATATCGAGGCTTGGGGCTTTGGGTTGTTATTTGTTTTTTATGTCTGCCTCTGCTCACATTCATTGACGATTTTTATGATTTTGGGCAAGCCCGTATAAAGCTGCGTGACCAGGAGTTGGAGCCATTTGCTGTTCAATTTGGCTTGTGACAGAAATTCACTCTGCCCCCATGCATTACATTACATAGCATCTTCATTAATTATGTAGTTTGAGAAGCTTACAATAGCCATATAAATAATTGCATTCGTTACAGTTAAAATGATACGCGCATCGATGCCTGGTTATAGTTAAGGGATCGTTCCCTGGTCAACCATGTTATATCTGCTGATGATCTGGAAATGGCTACTCAATGAGATCGGGTTAGATAATCTCGTTCTGTGCCTGGATAATTCCATCATGAAAGGTGGCCTTGCGTATGTTCCACCAAAATAAATCACCTGCCTGGGAATTTCATGTCATACAACACTGTACCTGCTCAACTCTCCATGAGTAATCAGGCAGTTCTACAAGTAATGGAGGAGCTCCCATACCTGGTTAATGTGTTCACGACCAGCGCTGGTTTGGCAGCCAAAGTCTCACTTTAAATTTGTCTAGCAGCATTCTTTCATTAGGCTGTGTAACACTGTGTGAAAGCTGCCTGGACTTTTGCTCCATACAAAGCTGTGAGTGTCCATCGCCAAGGTCTAGTCTGTCTGAGATCATCCCCTCTCCCTGTCATATTGGCATCGCACCCGCCTCTCACCCTTCGTCCTGTGGATGGTGGGCACACAGGACGGTGCCACGGAGCCATTCCAGGTTGAGCCCAAATGGGTTACGTGGGTCACCTAGCCACCAGGCCTCATTCCACGAGTGATATAAATATATAATATCTGTAAGGAGGCCCCCCAATAGACTGTCCCTGGAACTCTACCAGGCACGTCCCACTGGGGGACTTCCTAGGGGCCTGGCCCAGGACATTCTGGTGGGAATACGTCGCTTGGCTGGCTTTGGGAACGCCTGGGAATTCCCCAGGAAGAGCTCGTCTGTCGCCAGGGAAAGGGAGGTCTGGACTGCCCTACTGAATGTGCTGCCACCACAAACCTCACCAAGACAAGAGGATTTAGAAATAAATGAATAAAGCTGTGAGTCTTCTTGGCCACAGATATTACTCCTTTGTAGATGCAAAATATGAACTTATTTTAAGGACTGTACTGGCTTTTTATTAAGGCTGGCCTCCCTATGATCCCCTCTATTGAACCAAACAAGATTGTATTATAACCTTACAGAGCCCTAAAATGTCAGTACAGAATATAATCTGAGACTTTGGCAGGCGAGGCTGCATTGGTTGGGTCATGAATTCCGCATTAACAGACAGCATGCACAATCATCTTCTGTTAGTCCAGATGTTATGGGCTAAACGGGCATGGCTTTGGCTAGAGAAGAGATTGGAGGATGTGGAGTTGATCAGACCTGCCTCTGGAAGAGGCCCGTGATGTATGCTGCAGGGCAGTTGGAGGTATTTGCTCTGCAACAACAATGAGGTAGGTGTAGCAACGCTCACATGAATGGGTGGAGCGCTGGGTGCCTGAAATGCAGCAAGACAGCAGGAAGCACAGCTGGTGCATCTGTTAATCATGTCAGTCATCCCTTGACACCTGGATCATTCTCATGACATGCTGACAAGTGATCCACACTTACATGGGGCATTCATGAGAAATATATGTGTATGTAAGAGTTTATCTATGTGGGGAGCGGTGGCGCAGTTATTCCACTGTGTAAAAAAAAAAAAAAAATTGTTCCTGAGTAGTATGTGTTATTTCCTAATTTCTTTTGCCTCTAAAGTACAAAAATTGGCTATTCTCCACAAACTTTGCTTTTGTGACCAGGACAGTGATATTTAGAAATGTACCTCTTTTCAATGAGAAAACAGGTCAATTTGTTATTTTCGTTAACGTAAAATTATGGTCACAAAAGCAAAGTTTGTGGGGAATAATAGCCATTTTCTAGACTCTTAGAAATAAGAAATAAAAAAAATAACACTAAGTACCCAGGAACAAAAATTGTGTTACATAGTGTTATCACAATTAAAGTTTGATTATCGCCGACAACAAACGTGATTGATTCGTGAAAACTTAACTCATTGTGGGGAAGCATTAATACGTAGCATATGAAGGTGGCCAGGCATGGTTCTGAACACACCACCTTTTTACCATGCCAGTGTGTATTACAGTGTCAAGTTTGTATTTACAGTAAAGTATATTAACTCGATTGAACACGGAGGTTAAATCAAAACAATAGTTTATTTTTGTTTTTCTCTGGAACTTTTTATGAGAATGGAAACAGGAAATTAACACTGCACATATGCAGCTGAAGTTAGATCTGTTCATCCCAGCATTCAAGGAAATCTGAGCCCGGCTTCACACCTTTAAGTCGTGATTGAACATTAATTTATGCATTTCTGCATAATTCAAATAGTATTATTTTCAACACACTTTGCTATGTTAGCTGAATTTTGCTTTCATAAATATTCCTTTTGTAGCCAGACAACCGAAATTGTGTACTGGGAGTTTTAGGTTAACATTCATTTTGAAGATACTAGGGCTTCCATTTGCCCTCTCATTTTGTACCCGTGTGATGAATGTGGGAATCTTTTTCACTCTATCATGAATATATGAGTGAGTATAGACGTGCAAGTCATGTGTGACTGTGTATATATGCATTCCTTTGTGCCTCGATACTGACGTAGATGGTCTGGATATTGTTTTTTTCTGTCTGCTGCTGACGCTTCCTCTGACACTTCCTCTGCAGAATTGGTCTGATGGAGCAAAGGCACTCAGCACAGCTCGGTACAAAAAGGCAACAATGCAACCAGTGTGCATACAGCACGGATCATGTTAAATATCTGATACAGCACCAGAGAACTCACACAGGAGAGAAACCCTTCAAGTGCAGTCTGTGCGGGAAGGCGTTTTTACAGTTATCTGCTCTTGTATTTCATCAGATAACTCACACGGGAGAGAAACTTTTCAGTTGCACTCTGTGTGAGAAGGCGTTTGCACATTCACAACATCTTAAAATACACCAGAGAACACACACGGGAGAGAAACTCTTCAGGTGCAGTCTGTGCGGGAAGGCGTTTTCACAGTCATCTGGTCTTGTATCACACCAGAGAACACACACGGGAGATAAACCCTTCAAGTGCAGTGTGTGTGGGAAGGCATTTTCACATAAATCTACTCTTAAAAAACACCGGATAACACACACAGGAGAAAAACCCTTCAGTTGCACTCTGTGTGAGAAGGCATTTGCACATTCACAACATCTTAAAATACACCAGAGAACTCACACGGGAGAGAAACCCTTCAGTTGCACTTTGTGTGGGAAGGCGTTTGCACAATCATCACATCTTCAAGCACATCAGAGAACACACACGGGAGAGAAACCCTTCAGTTGCACTCTGTGTGGGAAGGCGTTTGCACAGTCATCAATTCTTAAACATCACCAGAAGACACACAAGCATCAGAAGATCCCCAAGAAATGGAGTCTGAAATCGGCTTGTGAAAGTCAAAGTGCTGCAATGAGCCCATCCCTCATGAAACCAGAAGTGAATCCCAGCTTGGACACTTTTAAAGGTATCAAGGTGAAATGTGAAGAGGCGAATGTGAAATGTGAAGAAGTGATGAAGAGCGAAGAAGTGAAGGTGAAATGTGAAGTGATGGTGAAGAGCGAAAAAGTGACGGTAAACTGTGAAGATGAAGATTCAACTCCAAAATCGTACCTTCACATCGATGGAGGCAACGTGAAGCAGGAGGAGAATTCTGACTTTGAGGCAGAGCGAGGCAACTCCCAGCAGTTTGTGGAAGTGGAGGTGTGGGTGGACTTCTTAGACAATTCAAATTAAAATGGAGACCCGGTAGATATGTAAGCTTAATAACGCTCCAATAGATTCACCTTTGTCATTGGCCTTTAATGAAAAGAACGTGAATTCGACCACTCAAATTCCTGGGTTCAACCTGCAGAGTAAGAGCGGCGAGTATTTGTGGACCTGTGGGTTGGGTAGATGAATAATCAGGAGCAAGAGCCAATAAGCTTCCAAGTATTCCACTGTTATATTTATATTTGCATTGATATGGTGCTTGCTTAATTGCCTCAGCAACTCAGTTTCCTATCTCATCACAAACGTTCGAAGAGCACCTTCAAGTGGCGGCTGCCTTTGTGTCATAAGGTGACACTGCTGTCACCTGCATGTGGGCATGAGTCTGTCAGTAGGGGGTGATGATTGATGTCTAATCTTCATTATGTAATTTCTGGATCATGTTTGAAATTGCCCAAATATTGACCATGACACCAACATGCAATGACCTATGCGTTTTGAATGACACAATCAAATGTTTTACATCCACTGTTAAGCAGTCGGTGCATATTTTGTTTAATGTTACTGGAGTAGCCAGACGTGCCTGTCGGATTTGAACCTTGAACCTCTGCAATAAATAGAGAATGTGCTACCACTTGGCTTCCATCAATCTGAGTGTAGGCATGACAGCCTGAATGTTTCTAACTGGCGCAGATGTTCCATTTAGAGGGGTCCACGTTTCACATGTCTACAGAAGGCAGGGCAAAACTGGCCGAGAAGAACCAAAGCTTCATGCGGAGCGACAAACCAGGTAGCTTCCACACAGCATAGCGCAGCCGATGAAAAGATGTTGCCGCCCGACTGATTCGGACCACCCACACACTGTACACACGCAGTGTACCCACAAGGTCTACACACACCATGTACACAGCGTACACAGTTTACCCACACAGTATACAAATAGTCTGTACACGCACAGTGTATATGTAGTGGGTTCCAGGGAGACTGACGACGGAGTCGAGGCACACTCTTTTATTAACCTCAAGGGCAGTACAATACTTGAAGGGGTAACGGCCCCTTCACCCGTACTAAATGGAAAAATACCCCTAGCACTATTCCCCCTGTCCTGTTCCCAGTCCTCTAATAGTGCTATGGGAGGCTGTCTGATCCGGCCCTGGTAAAGCACATCCCGGCACCCAGCTAACCCGGCCTTGCTCTTACAAGAGCAGAGGTCCGGAAGCTCTTGGGGCCGCGCCACTGGCTTGCCCAGCTCAGCCCTGACAAGGGCAGCGAGACAGGGGAGTCCCAGGGCCTATTCTGCCGGTCTTCAGACTTCACTGCTTCTTCCACACTGGCCCCGAGCTCTCTGGCTCCCCGCCTTTTATAGGAATTCCCTCCGAGGGGCGGAGTTATGGGGGATCACAGAGCCCCCATGGCCCCCCAGTGGTTAACGGATGCGGACGTGGATGTAGACACCCGTGTGTGGGTGCAGACACCCTGTGTTTTCTGTCCGCCCTTCTCCCCGTAATAACCCCTACATCACCCCCCCTATACAACCCGCAGCCGTCCCGGCTGCAACAAAACCCCTCAAAAACCAACAATAAAGACTTAACACAGTCAACATGCGTGTGCCCCATAACAATAACAAGAGTAACAAACAACCGACGGTCCCCTATAAATACCCCAGCCCCAACATGCAACATATGTACAGAGTGTGATTCACTCCCCCCAAAAAAGAACGGTGAGCGAGCCCCACGGCAGCGGAACACGCGCGGGAAGCAATTCATAACAACCAGCGCGTTTTGGCGCGTGTCCGTGCAGCGGGCCCGTCACAAGGGCCCGACCCGGTCGGGCCGGCGGCGGGTGTTGACAGTTCAGGCGCACGGCCCTCCGGCTTCCCGGACGAGTCTGCGCCGACCCCCTCGGGAGAGGCTGGCGGCCGAGAGGGCGTTAATCCTTGGACCCCTGAAGGCGGAACAGTTAGCAGCGGATCAGAGGCTGGTGGTGAACCCACCCTCCAGGAGTCAGTGGACCCCCCACATGTTCGGCCATAGTTGTGAGAGGAAGCATGTGGCGCAAAGAACGACTTCAACCGTGAAGGGTGGACGAACCACCGACGCTTCCCCCATTTAATGCGAACACATTGGGGTCGCACAACCTGCACAATTTCCATGGGGCCTCTCCATGGTCGCAACAGTTTAGACGAGGTAGCCAATGGCACCTGGGGACAGTGTAGCCACGCTCTGTTGCCCGGGTGCCATTCGTCCGTGTGTGACCGGCGCAATCGCAACCTTTCATTCGCCTTCTGGCGAGAGTCAGAGTTTTGAATTGCCGCCTCCCGCACCTCAGCCAACTTGAGGATATTAAATTTAACATTGTCAGCCAACTTGGACTTAGCGTGTGGAGTGGAAATTCTCAGCTGGGCCGCGACAGGCGGGTCAACTTCGCGGCCATACATAAAAAAAATGGCGAGAATCCGGTCGCTGTGTGAGGAGCCATCCTGTAAGCTGCCAGAACTCCTGGGATCTGAAGGTCCCAATCAGTTTGGGACTCGGATACCTGGTGTGATAGCATGGACGTAATAGTCCTATGCAGGCGTTCTACCATCCCATCCGTTTGTGGGTGGTAAGGGGAAGTACGAATTTTCTTCGTACCGAGAAGCTCACACACCTCGTGTAAAAGGGAACTAGTGAAGTTCTTTCCCTGATCGGTCAACAACCGTTCCGGAGCGCCCTTGTCGAGGACATAGCCCTGGACAAAAGCCTCCGCAACGGCTGCTGCCGACTGGTTGGCGAGGGGCCAAGCCATAGGCCATCGCGTGAAATATTCCACGCCAACCAGTAGGTACTTATTACCCCTAGGCGTGGAGGGAAACGGCCCCCAAATATCAAGAGCGACCAGCTCATTAACCCGGGAGACCGAAATAGACTGGAACGGTGGGCTGGCTCCCCTTGCTGGCGGCTTCCGTTGAGCACACTGGGTACAAGACTGCAAGAGATCGTCCACATCCCTTGCCATGCCCGGCCAAAAGAAATTAAGCTGGAGCATGGCAAGGGTTTTGTGGGTGCCCAGGTGCAGGGGCCGCTCATGAGCAGCCCATACAGCCCTACACCTCAACGTGGAAAGCACTACCAGCCTGTGGCGGCGGATCGTCCCGTTTCAATGCATGAGGAGGCCCTGGCACAACCTCCATGAGTCAACGCCCGACTTTTCCTGACCGGATCCTTCCGCACGACGCTGTAGCACCAGGAGGGAAGTATCCTCCAATTGGAGGCGCCCCCACTCCGCACCTGACAAGCCCAGTAGGGAATCCTTCCCTCCCATATCAATAGGGCCAACGCCCGAAGGAGCCTCAACGGCGGCCGCAAGGACCCGATCCTGGCCGTCGCTCGCCGATTTGCAACGCCCCGAGCCCAAGAAACAAGTGCAATCCGAAGTGGCCGGCAGGCGCGACAGGGCATCGGCATTAGTGTGGCGAATCCCCTTGCGATATGTTGTTTCGAAATCGAAATCCTGAATGATCTCCAGCCATCGGGACAACTGCCCCGACAACTGCCCCGATGGCTGGTGAATACGCAGGGCATACTGCAATGCCGCATGATCTGTACGGACGGTGAAATGCCGGCCGTACAGATATGGCCGTATACTGTTGAATAAAGAAAACAATAGCCAACAGTTCACGGCGGGTGACGCAGTATCTTTGCTCGGCAGGAGACAATACTCTACTACCGTAAGACACAACGTGCTCCACGCCACCAACAACTTGGGAAAGCACGCCCCCAATCCCTGTGTTGCTCGCGTCAGTGTCGAGCACGAAAGGTAGTGAAAAATCGGGGTAACTCAACGGCGGGGCCCCCACCAAGGCATCACGAAGAGAGTTAAATGCGGCCTCCTCTTCCGGCCCCCAATGAAACTTCACCCCCTTCGCCATTAAGGCATGTAACGGCTTAGCGATGGAAGCGAACTCCGCGACAAACCGCCGGTAATATGAAGCAAAACCGATGAAGCTCCTAACCTCCCCCACCGAGGTGGGAGTCGGCCAGGAGCTGACACAACGCGTTTTGGCGGGATCGGTTGAGATACCTGACCGTCCGAAGATGTGACCCAAATATCTCACAGATTCGTGGAGCAAATGGCACTTTTGCGGTTTAAATTTCAAATTAGCTGTGCACATTTTGAGAAAGACGGCCCGAAGCCTATCAAGATGTTCCTCCAATGTCCTACTAAATACGATCACGTCGTCCAGGTAAATCAAACAGACCTCCCATTGCAAGCCAGCGAGAACCAATTCCATTAGGCGCTGGAACGTTGCGGGAGCTGAGTGGAGCCCCATAGGCAAACGATTGAATTGGAAGAGGCTGTGCGGCGTTCGAAAAGCCGTTTTGGGCTTCGATTCGTCATCCAAAGGAAGTTGCCAAAACCCTGACAGCAAATCCAAGGTGGAGAAGAATCGTGATCCAGCCAGGGCATCCAGAGATTCGTCCATTCGAGGAAGCGGGTAAGCATCGGCCACAGAGATTTTATTCAAACGCCGAAAATCAACGCAGAACCTTAGGGACCCATCCTGCTTTTTGACCAACACTATGGGTGCACCCCAAGGGCTGGTTGAGGGAGAAATAATGTCAGAAACCAG